TTTCAACGTCCAACTCGGACAGATGACAATACAAATATGTAGGATGCACGATCGTGTGGGCAGGTGCGCAATGATGATGACTGATTGTGGTGCCGGTTGGGATGGTATTACGCCAAAAATTTTAAAATGTCTTAAAGAATTTATAATCCCCTCCCCCTCTTAATTATAGGTTTAATAGGTGTCTAGAAGAAGGTATTTTTCCAACAGTTTTAAAAAGATCAATCACAATTCCAATTTTTAAAAACGGAAAGCGGGACATCATCACTTACTATCGTACAATATCGTTACTCCCGTCTATATCTAATGCGGGTCACTCACATGAGCGCAAACATTCGTATATTGTACGAATGTTTGCATGCATGTGAAGGGCCGTCAGACATTCATTCGCGAAGTACGCGAAGGATCGGGGTTCGTGCGCTTTGATGTCCATTAAAAACCGACACAGCTTGGAAAACCGCGAATGCAGCCAAAACTTTGCATAATCATTTGCAAATGTCATCCCACACTTGCGTATTCGTGCGAATATGAGTGACCGGGGTAAGCTCCTTGAAAGAATAATAAACACTAGACTTATAAAATATTCAGAAGATAACGAAATTCTCTCAAATGGTCAATTCGGTTTTCGAAAGAGGAAATCAACTACGGCCGCTATACATATTTTAAAGAATTTATTGTGCAAAAATTAGACTCCAATAAAAAATGTATCTAAATCTTTATTGATCTGCAAAAAGCTTTTGACACTATTCCGTATTCTAAACTGATCGAGAAACTTGAAAAAATGGGTATTAGAAATGTACAATTAATACTTTTTAAAGATTACCTACAAAATCGCTCACAACGAGTTAGGATAGGAGAGATTTTTAGTGATGAAAGACCAATCAACTACAGAGTACCACAAGGGAGTATTCTCAGTCCAACTCTTTTCCTTTGCTACATAAACGATCTTTGTCAATTAAACATTCCAAATTGTAAAATAATCTCATATGCTGACGACACAACCCTCTCGTTTTACGCTGACTCTTGGGAAGAAGTTTTCAAAATTGCACAGGATGGTTTCAATATAGTCTACCACTGGCTTGCTCTAAATAGTCTCACTTTAAATTCCGACAAAACCAAATATGTAATGTTTTCCATCCGAAATTTATTCTGTATTACAAATAAATTTAAAATCATAGCACATTCATGTGTTATGACCTCTATTTCAAACTGTAAATGTCCTTATATTGAAAATACAAATAACATAAAGTACCTCGGCATAATAATAGACAAGAATCTAAGCTTCAAAGAACATATAAACTATTTAGTTCAAAAAATTAGAATGTTCATAAACTTAAGACATATCGCAAATTGGAATTTAATTAAAACTGTATATGAATCGTTAGGTAAATCTATCCTGTCCTATGGCATTTCTGTATGGGGAGGCTCTAGTAAAACATTAATGATGGAAGTTGAAAAGGTACAAAGGATGATATTAAAAATTTGAAAAAAACCTAGGATGTATCCGACTACGAACTTGTATGCAGAAGCCAATGTGTTAACTGTTCGAAAAATTTACATATTATCAATAATCTTAAAAAAACATAGTTGTATTGATATGTTGGATAATATAAGGAACTCTGATACGAGGAGAGATTATGAAGTTTGTGAAATTATTCCGGTAAAAACATTTTTTGCTCAAAAGTTTTTCAGTTTTTTAGTTTTCAACAAAGCAAACAAATAACACCGTATCATTAACCTAACAAAATTTTAATGTAAAAAGAAAATTTCAGATTGGCTGCTTAAACTTGATTATGAAAACACACACACACACACACACACACACACACACACACACACACACAAACAATAAGATTAAACCGCTTACGCGTATGCTCTCTCGCAAACAGAAAAAAAATGTCTCTGCTATATATAATAAAAAGAAAAAAAATCTAGTTGATCAACCTAATTGGGGAGCCGGGAGATCCATAGCACAGGGTATCCTAGTTTAGACTCCCGTCTCCCACAAATTTATGCACTCTTTATTTTGTTTATAAAAATATATATATGTTTTTAAAAGATAAAATGTGCAATGTACAATTTGTGGGAGAAAATAATAAAGGTTTATTTTATTTTTATTATTTAAATGATTGGGACAATAATAGCCCATTCTGTGGTTGTCCATCATGGCCGATCGTGTATAGTGTGATGGACGAATACTAGCGATCACGATCGTGTGGAGGGCATGATCGCCTATAATCGCCCATGATCGGTTATGATCGAGCGTAATCGCCGCTGTGTCGGTTTTACAGAGAATCATCAAAGAAAGTTCGGCTCTCTATAAACTTACCTTGTTTTATTTCGGTGTATAGTTAACATCCACCTTTTTTGCTTACTTTTTTTTTCACGATACTTTTAAGGCGTACATTTAAATAATGCTTATACATATAAACTAATTAAGTAAATAAATACTGGCAGCTCCGACTGTTTCAACGTTCATCTCGGACAGATGACAATACAAATATGTAGAATGCACGATCGTGTGGGCAGCCGCGCAATGATTGTGACAATCACAATTTACTGAAAATAGAAGTTCCAAAACCTACCACAATAGCGCTGGCATCTGAAAAACTACGATATGAATATAGCTGTTGTAGACGGAGTGAAGTCAGCTGAATTCAAATATTTACAAAATTTCATGAAGAGAATAAAATGCCAGTATACAAAACCTCAACTATTTACATAGTACAAAACCAAGCGGATCGGTCGGTCCCTGTTTATTTTTCCATCTTATTCTAATTAATTTTTTATTTATCCTATGCTACTGCAGCGCCACCCTTATTTGACGCGTTTTTAGGGATACTTTTCATATACAGAGATGATCCTCCTTCTACTCTACACTCCATAATTTGGTTGAGTACATGGAGGCTAACTTCCATGGTTGAGTAGGTTGTTTTTTAAGTGGTAGAGCCATGCTGCAGCTATATTAGTAGTATAGTTGTAGCACGAATGGGTTGGCTCGACCGGGGAAGGACCACGCTCTCACAAAATACCAGCGTACAATAGCAGCTTAACACTGCTGTGTTTCGTATGGTGAGTGTAAAGAACCGGAGACCCTTTTTACTGGAAAAGAGGCATTCCATCTTAGTCCTCACGGGTGACAACGCATCTGCATTTTTTCGCAAACGATGATAGATGTAGATGTCTATGGGCCACAGTAACCACTTAAAATCAGGTGGACTGTGAGCTCGTTTGTCACCCTATCCTATAAAAAAGGTATATTTGATTAAGTACCTAGTACAGACTTATTGATAGAGTTGTTATATAAAGCCGCGTCTCCACCAAAGTTGTGTTGCCAACACAATAGTTGCCAACACGTTTTGCCAATAAATGTTTCTGTAATCACCTAGTGTTGGCAACAAAACTTGAAACAATGTCGGGAATCGTGTGCGGCCTTGGATATGTAGAAAATAATAAAAAATAAACTTGTTTTATTTATGGTTCTGACGGCTCCGTGGTGCAACGGCTTGAGAGAACATTCGTATTACCTAATATGAAACTTCTGCCGTGTACTTATTACGTATGCCTATGCGAATATATTAGTCACATCACTACTTACTGACTCATTAAGCATGGGTGTTTTCAGTTTTTAGCTCCAAGGGTCACATAACCGATATTTAGTTTTCATATCGTTGTTGAAAACCATTTTCAAATATCGATATCAGTAATAATGGTTTGCTACTGAATGCGTAAACGACAACCGGAACAATCGAAAACTGTAGAACCAGTGCAACATTTATTTTACAAGTCAGAAGTTTTAAAGTCAGAGACTCTAATATAATCTTAGATGTAATATTTATATATGTATGTTAATATATAATTTATGTAAATTCATTGTTATGCAGTAATTTAGTATTATAAAACTCTAAAATTACATTATTTCTATCCTTATTTATTTCTATAATGTTTATACCCATTTTTTTAAAATGAGACATATGGTCAGATTTTGATTTCAAAGTCTTGCAAAAATTTTTTCAAATAATAATTAAAGTGTATTCAGAAGAAGTAAATATAATTTATATATATATATATATATAAAATTATTTTAGGTAGTTTATTTATTAATGATTATTTAAGTTGGCGATTTTCCTTTATACTTAATTAGGCTTAGGACTAGCAGAAAAGTTTTAAAACTAATGTACAAAATGCACACAAATATTACAAATAAAATGCATAAACGCAACGTCAAAATTAATAATTTTACAGATAATTTCATAGTGCGCGATACACGCCACCAAGCTCAAGTGCGTAATTGTTGCGTTTTGAAAAAAAAATTCTAAACTTTTCATCCAAAACATAAACAAAAAGTTGTCTAAATCAAATATAATGTGGTCATACAAATTTAAATTTTGTGTCTTATTTCCCAAAGATTATTTAAATTTGACAACTTTCACAACTACACAAATCTAGCAATTAGGCAGGTTTAACCGTGTGCACCGTTGTATGACAAAACATTGCAACGGAACCCATATTCGCTTCATGTCTTTCTATACGTATTTATGATACCGTCGCAAGAAAGAGAAACAACGAATATCAATGAAGGATATCGGTTAGTTCGTGGGCCGTGTTGGCATATTATGGTTCCAATTTGCGTTTTACGTTTCGTACGTTGGTTATTTGGTTTTGGTTGTATATGTGATAACAGTTATGTACTTAGGTATATCGATACGATATGATATTTGATAACATAACGTTATTTGTTACGTTTCGATATATTGGTCTCATGCCTATGAGTCATACAATTTTGATTGTTACGAATTACCACGAATTACGATTGCGGTGAAGTGTGAACTGTGAAGTGAAACGAAAAATGAAAGGTTCGTATTCTTTGCCATGGTTGCGGGTGGCGTGAGGTTAACCTAGAATTATTCGTTAGATTAGATATTTACTTTTACTTTTCTGTTAGCCTTGAGTGGTAGTTGCAGACTGCATTGAGAACATTAGATTTATTGTTTTGTTTAATCATGGCTGAGTCCCAAGATGTACTGCTTGATAAAATTAAAGAACAAGGAGATCTCGTGAGGAAATTAAAAGCTGCAAAGGAATCAACTGAAAAGGTAAGATCCGTTTAAAATTTACTAAAACTGATTAAATTCTCAACTATTTTCAAATGTCTGTGTGTTGCATCATTCATTATTGTTATGATTGTTCTTGGTTTTATAGCGGAAGAGGACCCAAAAATCTGTTTATGATCTTGAAGAAGTTGATGCATATTTATCCCAGTTCAGTTACTTATCAGGGTATTCACCCACTAAATTAGACTTAGATATTTTGAACAATTTAGGGCAAGATCTAGATTTCCAAAAGTATAAATACATCAAGAGGTGGTGGTACCATATGCGGAGTTTCAATGAGTCTGAAATAAATCTTTTCCCTTTAACTTGCTCCCAAAATGTATTTGCAAATCTGCATAAAGGCAGTGTTAAGTCTCTTGATGAGCAGGTTTGTGTTGTTGCTCTTTAGAAGTAGCCTATTTGATGCTTTGTTGTTTATGACACACATTTTATATATTGTATTTTTAGTTGCACAATCCATACTAGGCTTGCCAATCGTCTCGTGAGAGCTAGGACATCCTGTTTCTAGAGCCTTAGGGGATGCCTCTCACAAAAGACATGTGCAGGACACCAATTGTCTGATTTTATTGTTTATGTCTAACTTTTTATTTATTTATTAGAAGTGTATGCAATTTTTGTTTCACCTATTCAAATGAAGATCAAAAAAATAGTTTTTTAAGTCAGTTTATATTTTTTATTAATTAAAAATTATTTTCCCCTTTTGAGTGGATGTTGTCTAAATAATTACAATAAAACATCATCCCCTATTTTTACATCCTTAGGGGTGAATTTTCTTTTTATTAAATTTATATGGGACCATCCTTTATAAATTAAATTATTTACAAAAAAAGAATCATTTTAATTGGTTTAGAAGTTGTTTCCGAGAATTGTGTGAACAAACCTTGAAAAGTCTTGAATATCTCCTTTTTTGAAAACAGTTAAAAACTGTTTAAAATATGACAGTTAAATCTTATTTCTGATAAAATAATCCCTTATATTTTTATACTTTTACAGTTTTGTCTCACTTTTTTCAACCACGTCCCACATTGTGATACAATATTTCCACAAATCTGTGCACTATGGCTGGCAAGCCTAATCCCTTCAAATGCATTTTGCTTAATTTATTATTTGGATCTCCCCATATGGTTCTTTCGTTACCACAAAGTGTAGTAATAAAAAAACAAATTTGTAATATGTTCATGGAAACCATTTCTTTTCCGGTAATAAATTATAAATCATCAGTGGTGACGAGGTTCCATATTGATTCAGTGTGAAGTGGACTAACTAAAGAAACATGATTTATGCAGTATTGAGGTTGACAAAAAACCCAAAAGTCAATTTGCGATTATGCAACTTTCTATCTAACAATGGATACAAAAAAAGTATTGCAACAACATCTCAGAGCAAGGTATTAGAAAGTTGTACATTGCTTGTGGTATTTCAAAAATCTTAATTGTCAGTTCCTCTAAGTTATAAGAGTCAAAATTTTATAATTTGTTTGATACAGTAGCTAATTCTTATTTTTTTTTAGATTCAAGAGGAGGTTAGTAAGTTACTAGCTTTAAAAGCACAGTTAGGATCAGAAGATTCAGCTCCACAGAAGTTTGTTCTTAAAACACCAAAAGGTACTAGAGACTACAATCCACAACAAATGACCATAAGGAATAATGTACTTCAAAAAATTATAGCAGTATTTAAAAAACATGGAGCTGAGTGTATTGATACTCCAGTGTTTGAATTGAAGGTTCTTATTTTTGATTATTTTTAAATTTTCTTATTTTTATTTTCATTTCAAATAACACTTAGAAATTTAGACTCCTTGTAGTGTATCTTATTTTCCATTTTTGTCCACTGCTGAACATGGACCTCCCCCTTTGATTGCTTTGTTTACCATATTCGCTATACTTAGCAGGCTTCTGCCAAGTATAGTAACGATGGTAAATAATATATAAAAATAATTTGCTAACATCCACGTATAAAATAAACATGATATGTCTTACCTTTTCCCTCCTGGGTAAGACACATCATTTCGATTTTATAAACAAATCTTAGTGTATTAATTTTAACATCGTCAACCAATCAAATTGTTATTTGAAATATTGAGTGCTGATTTACAACATGCTCTGTTATCTAAAAACATTGTAAGTAAATCTGAGGAATAAAATATTGAAAGTACCTCTATGTGAACCAGAATAATTGTTCTGTTACTATCAGATTCAGAAATTAAAGTGAAATGTAAAAATGTCTAAATTTACTTTATTATATCTGTTAAAACAGGAAGTTTTGACTGGAAAATATGGTGAAGATTCAAAATTAATCTATGACTTAAAAGATCAGGGCGGTGAAATACTTGCCTTGCGATATGATTTAACAGTACCTTTGGCTCGTTATTTGGCAATGAGCAAGATCAATAATCTGAAGAGATATCACATAGCTAAAGTGTACAGAAGAGATAATCCAGCTATGACAAGAGGTAGATATAGGGAGTTCTATCAATGTGTAAGTTTCAAATTTCAAACCAATTTCAATTCAAGTCATACATTTACCTTTAAATATCTTCTTGACCTCATTTTTTTAAGACTTAAAAATTGAATTAAATTACAATCCATGCATTTAAATTACATTTATTTTATAGTCTTTTGTTAAAAACATTTCATCACATTTTTTTACACAGTTTTCAGTTTCATTTGATGGGACACAGAATGTGTTGTTTTCTATGCTTAGTATTTTTCAATGTCATCATATAAAAATTATGTATCAGTTAATAGTATTAAAATTCATAATTATATACTGTTACAATTGAGAAATGGCATAAGCATTAATCTGTTAATAATTTATTTATTTCTAAAATGTATGTCTGTTTTGTTACTAATATATTATAAGTAAATAAAACAATTTTATCTCTGCATAAATAAATTCTTCCTATTTTTCATAAGATTATTGGTTTTTTAAATATTGAGATCACCTTTTTTTTTAAACAGAAGTTAAAAATGATAATAAAGTTGTTTAGATTTAATAAATGGTTGTATTTCAGGATTTTGATATTGCTGGTCAGTATGATCCAATGGTTCCAGATGTAGAATGTCTCAAAGTTGTGACTGAGGTTCTGGATGCCCTTGATATTGGAAAGTATGTATTGAAGGTTAATCATAGACGGTTACTTGATGGGATGTTTGAAGCATGTGGAGTTCCAGTTGATAAATTTCGATCTACTTGTTCCACAGTTGATAAATTGGATAAAGTAAGTATATTAAACTATATATTGAAACTTTTTGTTTTATTGATTCATCTTCTGTTTGATCACATTATTCTCTGTCTCTGGGTATGTTATATGTCTGTCATAAATGAAATATTTATACTAACATTTTTTTATATTTCTTTATTTAAGTACAATTGACTGTTTAGTTCAAATATAAAAAAAGATTACAAATAAAATTGGTGTCCATTTATGTAAAATGAGATTAATTTTTGTAATTGGAACTTCTTCTTCTCGGGTATTACACCTTTAAATCTAGTTCAGGTGACTATGCTACTTATAGCTACAGTGAATCTTCTCCTTTTACATCATTATTAGCAAAGTTTGCTTCAAATTGGCTGTTACTGGTGAATATGAAAAATTTAAATAAGCTTCTTGAGCCTAATTTCTATCCTATGTAAAAAGGCTTTCAATAGTTTAACATGACTTGAAAAATAAGTTTATATATTATATTATTTGTGACTTTTTAAAAGTATGCATATTTATTTTAATTAAAATATATTACTATACTATTATTCATATAACATGTGGTTTAATGATTTTTATTTAAGTTTTTTTAATTCGCAACATTCCAAGTGTTTTGCCGCATTCATGGTCATGGGGGACTGAGGTGAGAAGAGAGCCTTTTTATTCCGAACTATATGCAATTTAACATTTTTGATTTTATGAATTTTATTTCTTATGGTAGTATCTCGCAATTCGGCGTGCCTCTTGGCATAGGCCTCCTCCAGCTCTCTCCATTGAGCTCGATCTTCTGCAACTCTTATCCAGTATGGTCCTAGGGATAGGCGGATATCGTCACTCCATCGTGATTTCGGAATCCCCTGTCTTCTGAAGTCTCTTTTTGGATACCATAAGGTTACTTTTACTTGTTTGCTTCATTTATTTATTTTGCAACTGAGACTTGATTTGAGGTGAGAGCTTAAGATAGTTAAAAGTCTTGCAGCAGTCTGCTTGGCTTTATATTTAATTATTTGATAATTGGCTCCAAAGCCAATGGTAGCACTTTGCTGTCTTTTGTATCGAAATTGATATGTTTTTAATTTCAATAGTCTGATGAAATATCCTTGGTAGGAGAGTGTTCTTTTGTGATTCACGATCTAGTTTACCATCAAGTTTGCAGCGCGCTTGAAGCAGCGTCAAGTTTGTAGTGCATCCATATAGACTACTGACATTCAAGTTAGCCGTCAAGTTTGCATGATGCCGCATCAGTTGAAACCATGGCGTCTCTGCTTATTGCTCCGACTACCGTCATGCATACTTGACCGCTCATACACACGTTCAAATTTGCATGACGCTTCAAGCTTGATCAAGTCGGCGGAATTGAAATTCAATTTTTGCTTCAAGTAGACTTATCATGCACACTGATAGCCATACACCGTGAAGTTTATCGGACGCCGCTTCAAGCGCGCTGCAAACTTGACGGTAAACTGAATCGTGTATGCCAGAACATCAATGTGTTTTGTTATTTATGTAATTTTTTTGTTTGCCCTATGTATGGCAGACCACATACACAAATTACACTTAAAGGGATATTATGACAGAGTGTAAAATCTGACTAATCTTCTTCGGCTCCTTATAAAATGTTTTTGTGAAAGTGGCCTTTAAGATGGAGCTTGTCTGTAATTCCTTTAACATATGGTAGTACAGCACGCACTCATTACATTGTGAGCTGTCTCACTCTGTTGCTGAAACAGAGGTGTGGGATCTGACGCTTTGCAGTAGAAATCCGAATAATGCCTCATGTAGCCACATAGCCATACTGCACAACTATAGGAAGAATAAAGACATGGTTAATCCCAAAAATATTATTTAAAAAAACGATGGGATTACCCATGTCTATTTTCCTATGACTAGCTATCTTAGTCCTCCAAAGACAGTTTGCCGCAAAGCGTCGAAAAGTTGCGTCTTGATTTAAAATTAAAATAAACCGTGAAAACAAATCCGTAAAATTAGTTTTATTCAATGTGTATTCACTATATGTAATACATCATTACATATTTTTTTGTTATCGCTCTTTGATTTAGTAGTTTTTAATTTGTATGGGATTTATTTCTTTTTTAGTTACCATGGGAGGAAGTAAGGACTGAAATGATAAATGAGAAAGGTATTTCACCAGATGCTGCTGATAGAATAGGAGAATATGTGCGACTGAATGGTGGTGCAGAGTTGGCAAACAAGTTATTAAATGATGAGAAGTTATCCAAATCCAAAGCAGCGGTAGAAGGACTGGAGGGAATAAAATTGTTGTTAAATTATTGTGATATTCTAGGCATTAGTGACAAAATATTGTTTGATTTGAGTTTAGCTCGAGGATTGGACTATTACACAGGAGTTATTTATGAAGCTGTTTTAACACGTAAGTTGCAAAAATAGTTATTCATATTTCTTAGTCAATAAAACAAAAAATGGTTGTGACTCAGGAGTTCAACACTACAAACTTCCCAGTAGAAAGTGGCAAAAAATACGAGACTTGGAATATGGAATAGAACAATAGCAATACCATTGAATTGTTACATGATATTACTCTTTATCTAATTAATTGCCTCATATGGAGGGTATTTGCCATAAAGCGGGTCGGCAACTGCAGATTTTTACTTTTAGTCGATATTAGGAAAACGCTGCTGACCATCTCCTGATTTGTTTCCCTCTGTCGCCTCTAGCAATATCCACGGGATGATATGGGGCAGTGGATATTCTTGCACTGCCATTACATGGTAATAGTATAGTCATATTAACGAATTCATTTAAAAAAAATGTGCCTCAACATTACATTTGAATGAATTTATTGACAAGGTTAATTTTATATCATTTAGAAAGTTAGAATACTTCAATAGAATAATTAATGATACCTAAGAGTATCTCATCAATTTAATACACTGTGTAAGTTTTATTAATTTGCTTTCAAAATCAAGTGAAATTTGCAATGATTATACATATATATTTTTAATGCCTTGTATAGAACAGTGCACTGCAATAATTAAACTTTGCTTATTCCTGGTTGAGTACTTTCACTTTTCACTATGAGGGAATACTGTTTCTAGCTTTGTATTTATTAAGGAAATAAATTTTATTAAATTATCTTATTTCGTACAATAAATTTTAGAACTTAATAAACACAATATCTGGAAAAAAATTAAATATTTTATTTTAAATTTATTTTCAATAGATTTCTCAATGCATGTTAAAGTAATTTTTTAAAATAAACTTCATATTCTAAATACAACTTGCAAAATAAATAAGTACACTGTTGATGAAACATCTTTGGTAGTTGACAGAGGAACTCCACTTCATTTTCAACTTTTCGTTCATATGCCAACCCCAATTACGTGTGTGCACTGCACTGCTTGACTAAGAAATTGAGGATCGGGCAATGGACTGGTTAACAGTAAATCTGGCCTAAAACACTGAATTCAAGTTTCACAGAATGGGTGCATTACTAGTGCAAGAATGTCAAATCTGCTTTATTAAACCCGCCTGTCCCATGTGGTTTTTTATAGGATAAGGGTGACAAATGGGCACACAGTCCACCTGATGGTAAGTGATTGCTTCGACCCATAGGCATCTACATCTATCCTCCATTACATAATATCAAAATGCAAATGCGTTGTACCCCATGAGGACTAAGATTGAATGACCCGTTTCCAGTAATAAAGGTCTCCGGTTCTCTACACTCATCATACGAAACACAGCAGCGTTAAGCTGCTATTTTACGCTGGTATTCTGTGAGAGCGTGGTCCTACCCCAGTCGAGCCGACCCATTCATGCTACAACTATACTACTAATATAGCTGCAGCATGGCTCTACCACGTAAAAAAAATCTTTAAAATATTAATGCCAGCTAGTGCAATCCTTCACCAGTAGATTAAAAAAGGCAGTTAAGGCGATGTGAAGTCTAAGTTTATTTATTCATATTTGGTTTTTATTTTTACAAATTATGAATTACAGAACCAATCAAAGTTGGCAATGAAGAGCTAACTGTGGGCTCGATAGCGGGCGGCGGCCGTTACGATAACCTCGTTGGAATGTTCGATGCCAAAAACAAGCAGGTAATTGAATTTGTTCTATTTCTCTGAAGGTGTATCTAAACTTATCTCCAATCTTCTAGGCTTCTTCGCTCCTTTTTGCCTAGACAGGGTATAGAGATAATTACAGCCTATGAGGCATTCTATCTTAGTCCTCAGGGGTGACAACGCATCTGCAGCCTTATTGGTATGAAGTTGACTGCAGGTATCCATAAATGAAAGTAGTCACCATCAAGTAAACTGAAAGTTCATTTGTCACTTCAGTTTCATAAAAAAATATCTCATTACAAATTTTCTTCAGATGCTGGTAGGTTAGTTCTGACTACCAGTTGTTGTTTGTGCCGGCTGTTTATTGAGCCCAGAAATAGGTCGGGTCGCCTCATTCAGTTTTTAATATCATTGGGTGATATCTACATCACAGTCTCATCAGCTCATAGACTGTCCACAGCTAAACGTGAACCTCTATTTAGTACATTTATTTATTTAATCTTTAATAACAACGGTAAGAAAGGGCGGACTTAATGCCTATCGGCATTCTCTGCCAGTCAAATCACATCACATAGTAAATCGCATATTACATCTGGCTGATAAGAGGCTCTATCACGAATTATCGGAGACAATGTGATCTTAATGACATTGCTTATAGTCAAATCTTACGATACTCAAAAATGGGAATAAGAATAGAAAAAAAAAACGTTTTCGTATTTATTTCGAGTTGAATTCTTTGAGAACTAGGTTTCCTTCAGTCAAGTCGATTCATTGGCGTCGGAAGTTGCAACTGCAGTGTGGCTCCACTACATCAAAAAATAAATATTATATAGATTGCGTATTTCACTATTTGCTGTGTAGTGGCGGAGTTAAAGAATCCACTAGAAGAGAATCCCCATATCATCCTGTGGGTATTGTAGGAGCTACACAGGGAAACTAAACATTGGAGCATCATTCTGATAACAACTAAAATTTAAAAAAAAAACAGCAGTTTTCTACCTGTCTGCCAAGCGTGGCAACTATTGCAATATCTTCCCTATGAAGCAATCTATGGGGAAAATCTATGTTCAGAAGTGGACTTTTATATAATGTAATGGATTAATAATTAATGTATCTATTTAACAAACCATGTAATAATAATAAATAATAATAAAAAAAATACAAGAATTGCTCACTCACGGACTTATAAAAATCGACGTCAGTTTAAGATATGCTTAAAGTTGCTCTCCCTCTCTCTCTTTAATAAATAACAATAGAAAGGGACCGGTATAGAGATAATTATTACTTAATTTATGTCAGCGATAAGCTGCGATTACAAGTTATGAAGGCCATTCACATTGTGATGGTAGTATTGACCTTCTCACGAACTTCAGTGGTAGGCGACAGGTTCTATCGTGAATGCATTGGTCGCATAGCTGACGAAAACCTTGCGATATGACCGCATTTGTAAAAGCATATCAGTATGTCAATTAATGTCAAGGAGAGGAAATGGTTAAATGATAAAGATGCAGTTAAAAATTGCAAATAATTTATGACCGAGTTTATATAGCTGCATGAATGAGATAATCCTTTTATACAGCAATGGACATGCTAATGCAATTGAAGTGTCAGTAGCCTAATGGCAGGGCGCGGACCGCGAACTCGAAAGGTCGTGGATTTGAATCTGCCATTCGACTACTGTCGTGAACCACTTCTGACACAAGCATTTTAAACTTACCAGATGTGGTTAAAGGGAATATTAGATAAATAGAGATTTACTAGTATTTAAAAAAAAATATGCCAAATATAGAAAATCCAGGCAATCTAAGAGGGGAGGTCTATGTACAGCTGTGGGTTAATATATATTGTAATGAAAAATGATAATATTTAAATTTTATTAATTAAAAATTCTGTAAATAATTTAGGAGGATGGCTGATGAATTCACAGTGCTGTGTTAATCCATACTTTAATGTATGGTAGTGAAAGTTCGAGAGTAGAATAAATACTGTAGAAATGTGGTTGTTAAGGAGTATGTTAGGGCTGAATCATAATGACAGGGTGAGAAATTGTGTGATAAGAGAAAAGTGTGGTTTGCAAGACGACGATGTTGTGACCAAGATTAAGAAAGGAATACTTCGGTCATTTGGTCATGTAGAAAGAATGAACAAGGAAAGAGTGATAAAGCAAATCTATATTGTAGATGTGAACGGCAGAGTCGGAGAGGAAGGTACGCCCTAGATGAAAGTTTATCGATCAAATAGGCGATATATTTAAAATTGGCCAGATTAAGAGTTTATGTATGTAGGAATGCTGACGACATAGAACAATAATTTGAACATAGCATGCATTTGACTGATAATTTTAATTTAACACTTCTAATAATTCCTGCAGTCGATAGATGCAGTTTAATCAGGACTGTGCTTTATGAAATTCTTTGGAGAAGGTTTATGTTAAGAAGTTGAAATGTGATGATAACAATGATTTTAAATAATTCCAGGTGCCGTGTGTCGGCGTTAGTGTCGGCGTTGAACGAATATTCTCCGTATTGGAATCAAAATTGGCAGCGGGCGATATAAGTGTGCGCACGAATGAAATAGACGTATACGTCGCATCCGCACAGAAGAACTTCCTCGAAGAACGTATGAAGATATGTGCAGAGTTATGGAACGCGGGAATCAAGGTTTGCTTAAGAATGATTTTTTTTATAAAAAATAAAGTGTAAGAATATAGTCACTCTCAAGATTTGAAGGTTAGAACTTGGTCACAGGTATGTATGGAAGAGAGCTGTGGGTATTTAACTATTTTACGTTAAAAATTTTTTGAGAATAAGGGTAACAAAGGAGCACACAGTCCACCTGATGGTAAGTGGACGCTGTGGCCCATAGACATATACATTTATCCTCAATTAAGAATCAAAATGCAGATGCGCTGCCACCCCCGAGGACCAAGATGGAATACCTCGTTTCCAGTTAAAAAGGCAATCCGGCTCTCTACACTCACCATACGAAACACAGCAGCTATTTTACTGCAACTTAGCTGCAGCTTGGCTCTACACGTAAAAATTATTAATATTCTGTGATATTGAAGTACTTTTCAAGTCCAATCGATCATTTTACATGTCATAGCCAATATCTAAAAGGATTCCCTTATAGCGTATGTTAGCATCGCGCTGTAAAGGATTACCAACCTTTTGGTACAGCAATATTAAAAAATATAAAGGAGGTAAGTCGTAAACTCATACCCAAGTAGCCATGGAAATCTACTATTTCAAAGAAAATATTGCAAACTAATTGATTAAATGGTTTTAGTTGTTTCGATTCGACGTAATGTTTCTATAACAAAATTGAAAGATTCAAACTTTTTCAGACGGAACAGTCTTATAAGAAAAATCCAAAAATGCTGAACCAGTTGCAACATTGCGAAGAGAATGGTATACCCCTGGCGGTAATTCTCGGTGAATCAGAGTTAAAGCGAGGCTTGGTCAAGATCAGGAATATCACTACGAGGGAGGAACAAGAAGTGCCTAGAGCAAACCTTGTGGAGGAGCTCAAGACAAGGATAAATGCATTAAATGTGAAAGAGATAAATGGTTCCTTATAATTAAATTGAATCTTGAATTGATTCTCATGGTTCTTCCTATGAAATTATTTTATTTTAAATGTTTTTTAATTTTTTTTTGGGTCGTTTTCATAATTTATTAAACATTTGTGATGAATATATAATGTTCAAAAACTTTTGCATTTTTGTCAAGCAATTATTTCAGCAATATAGTTAGTGGCTTTCGTTTTATGTTACTTTAATAACAAATAAATTATCTTTATAGCAAAGAACTAGTTGTTAAATAAGTTACGATCTATCTGTAGTAATTTATTTTAGAATAATTTTCACCTACAAAATTACGTTTTTCAGCCGTTACCTTTTTTATTTTTTTAATATAAATTTCAGTAAAAAATTATAAAATGTTATTAATATGTAAAAGTGCTTTCTGTTTTGATTTGTATCTGTATGAAAAATAAACCGATTTTAAGGATTTCACTATTTTACCTTCATGCATCAGGTGTTTTTTTTAACTTATTATAAGCCATTGTTTGACCACAATCCCACTTGGTGCTGGATGAAATATACAGTTTTAAATAGTACATATACTTATACTATAATGTAGTATAATCAGTGGAGTAGCGTGCCTTAGAGGGACCTGTATCAAAATTTGTCGGGGCGCCCAATTGAATGGTAAAGATTTTTCATAAAAGGAACAAAAACTCGCATTTAATTAAAATAATTATATATTGATTATAAGTTATTACTTACAATGAATACTCATAGGAACTAAGCTAGCTAAACAATTCAAACCAACATCCTGTCCCATAGAAGTCCTTAGAATTTTTGCTTACATATGTTTGGGGCCTCTGTAGCCCGGAGGCCCCGTATCATTGACACGGCTGATAGCTACGCCCCTGAGTATAATAAAGAATATATATATTATAATAAAGAACTTGCACTTTCTTATCACGCTGGGACAGTAGATTGGTGAGTGCATAGTCAAGCCCAAGCGAATTGGTGATACTGTTCATCACCAGCCTATAAGATTTCGTTTCGGCAGTTTGGATGGTTTTTTGTTATCACTTAGTCGTTAGTGCCTTAGTAATAATAGCCCTGTCTCACTCCGCACTTTAGGCATGAAAATATACCTACGCTGCGCGGCCGCCTAGAAGAGGCTACTTCAGTGAGGTTGTCACACGCGCTTAAGCTGACGCGCGCCTTACGTTAACATAAAAGTATTTTTCTTAAGAAAAAAAAACAACCTTCTAGTTTTTAGTAAGTTTTGCCTAAATACTTATAAAGTAAGTATTTAGGCACTTTTGATATTTATTTTTGAATTTTTATTCAAGTATGACCACTCAAAAAGCCAAAAGGTACTGCATAGCATACGGGTGCTTAAATATCAAAAGGAATGTCGACATTTTATTCTTTACTGTCCATAAGGGTACCGAAAGGTAAGATGTTATTATTTATAGGTAGATCTAGATAATTTGGTACCTAGTAACTGACGCCATAGTGACAGTTTTATTATTTGATCATCGAACTGACCATAGCTTCGCAGTTTTCGATTTGTTATATTATGTCGTAATGTTTCAAGTCTTATAACTTACGATTCTGGGCATGTAACATTTTTTAGTGTACAAATTATATATTTAAGCAATCTGAAACTGTTGTCAATTTAAATTAAAAATAACGTAACATCATCATTATCAGCCTAAATATTAAACCACTTCTGGGACAGGGCTCGCCTTATACGTACGGAGGGGATTTGAGGAATAGTCTACCACGCTTCTCAATGCGGATTTGTGGACGAAGTACAAGATAATCAGTACTTCTTTAAATTCCCTTAGTCGACTTTTAAGACACAGGCAGACATGGGGAGATGCTAACTACTCTACGGGCATCACACTAAAGGTAATAAAGTATAAGTAGGTAGTAGTAGTAGCAGGTAATACCTTTAATCTATCTCGCATTAAACAGTAATGTTCTTATTATCAGCAAACTACTAATACATTACATAACACCCCGGTGTATGCTACTACTAACTAATATCAAAGGATTCAATTTGTTTTCTCACAACACCTAGCCCTACAGTAGGAGCGGACTTAACAAAGGCGCGTAACGGGCTAAGTGATACAGACTCGCACGCGGATGTAAGGTGCATTTTGCTATAACACGCACGCCTCAACAATCGGTAGGCTATTTTAATGAAGGTCGCATCCGAGACGTTTAAAGTATTATGAATATTAGCGATGATGTAACTAGTTTTTAACTCGCAAGTTTGCTCATCAGAGATTGATTCTTCTGTACTTGCACTATTAACTATTCTGTGGTAATAATAATAATAATAGGAATGCCCTTCAGACCGAATTTCGGTCACGGCTGCCAGTCTTAAGAGACTAGAATACCACGCGACCAGAGAAAGTTTTTTATTTCAATAGCCTCATGAATCATCCTTGGAAGGAATCGGTGTTTTTGGAGGATTTGTGGTCAATCAAATCTGATGTAGTGACGGGGGCGATCCTGTATTACTATCCAAGCCTAATACCGTTAATAACAGTTCTCAGAAGTGAGAGGTCTGTCTGTAGATTGTAACTTTACTATCACAGTTGTAATGCGTCGATTTTATTGTAAGGTGAATGTAGATTGGCTTATGAGATGCAAGAAATAAAATAAATCGTGTTTTAGTTCAACCCCGGGTTAGATCGAAAAACGTATACTTATATTTAATATAATACACAATACTTTAAGTAATTAGTAAGAAGGTATATAAAATTGCTATATCAATACAAAAAAATAAAATTGAATTGTCTGTTTGTAATGATAAAAAACAGCTTTTCATTAAATGCATAAGAAAGCTTATATAGCACTTATAACCACAGAATAAATAATATTACAAGAGCAGAAGGATCACTCTCAGATAGTAAACTTTTAGCGAGTTTAAACCCGGTTACAACGTCGCTAATATTCATAATACTTTGCACGCCTCAGACACGACCTTCGTCAAATTAGCCTACCGATGGATTCGTCGAAAAACAAAGTTAATGCGGCGCGCGTATTATATCAAAATGCACCTTCTTACGTCCGCGCGCGAGAGTCTGTACCAATGATCCCGTTACGCGCCTTTGTTAAGGCCGCACATACTGTAGGGTTAGGTGTTGTGAGAAAACAAATTGACTCCTTTGATATTAGTTGGTAGTAGAATACACCGAGAGAAGATTATTTTTCAATGTGAGGAAGGTTAATATGCAACATCGAGAAAAATTAAGATTATAACAACGTGAACGAACCGACTTTAAAAAATTAGGAGTTACTCAATTCGACTGTATTTTTATGTGTGTTACCTCAGAACTTTTTCCTGGGTGAACTGATTTTGATGATTCTTTTTTATTTGAAAGCTGGTGCTTATAATTTATATATCCCATAAAAATTTGATCAAGATGTGACCAGCAGTTTTGGAGTTATCCTAAATAATGCGTATTATACTTAATACGTATTAATATTGAAGTCGGTTGTACAAAATTTTTAATTTCATTACTTGTCATTCTTCCCATCTTTTTTAAAAAACGTTACTTCCACACTAGAATTTTCTCCTGTATCGCGGAGCCAATTTCCATACATATATTTGACAAGGACAAACATCCAGACCCAGAACAATTATTTGTAGGCCATACAAATACTTGTTCCGTGCGGGATTCGAACCCGCGGCCCTTATCGCTGCAACTCATTGCTAAGCCAATTCGCCACGGAACCGTCACGGTGTTGTCTCTTAAGTAGCCGCTAGTGAGCAGCCGCAGCTGATTAGGCTGCTGACGAAAGTTATGGAGTTTTCGTCGGCGCAATTCCTACATAATAAGTCTCTAACCCCGCACAGCAGGTATGTGCAGGAATTTCCCCATGAAAAACGACGGCATACATTGGCTCATTGCAAAGTCACTGCGTCACGGAGCCGTCACTTGACTGTTTCACGTTTTTTGCTATTTAAAAACATGTGACACTGCGGCAATGAGAAGTGTTTTCAATCTCTTTCTTTTACCAACCAAGTGTTAAACTAGTAACCAGTATATGCTGATCTTGAGCCCCGTGTAATGGCGGGTAAGAATACTCACTACCCCATATCTTCCCGTGGGCATTGTAAAAGGCGACAGAGGGAAACTGAGGCAGAAGATGGGCAGCAGCATCTTTCTGATAACAGCAAAAAGCAATAAACAAACTGCAGTTGCCAACCCGCTCGCCAAGCGTGGCCACTATGGAAATATACCCCCCATGAGCAATGACACAAATAAATGGCCCCCAGGCCCCGCTATTCCTGGCTACGGTGGCGACCATAGTGACAGCGGGGCAGGGGGTGCTAAGAATCTCCGGTGGAGGTTTGGTTGCCACTTACGACGACTCGACCTGGCAACTTATAACGCACGCACCCTGAAGACTGACGAGAAGATCCTGGAGCTGAAAGAAGAGACAGACAAGTTGCGCTGAAATATTATAGGATTATCCGAAGTCCGAAGAGACCGGTAGGACACGGTAATCATCGAATCCGGCAACTTGTTCTATCACCGGGAGTGCGAGCATTTGTTCCAAGGAGGTGTTGGATTTATCGTCGACGAGTCTCTCGTTAACAACGTTGTAAAGATTGGGAGTGTGTCGACGAGGGTTGCGTACCTTATACTCAGAATCACCAAACGGTATTCGCTGAAGGTCATACAGGTGTACGCACCAACCGCGGCACATCCCGATGAAGAGGTGGAGGAAATGTATGAGGATATCTCTAGAGCCATGCATTCCTCCAAAACCCACTATACGGTGTTGATGGGAGACTTCAACGCAAAACTATGCACTAGAGAGAACGGTGAGCTGAAAGTAGGGAAACTCGGAATAGGGCAAAGGAACCCAAGGGGCCAACAGCTGGTCGACTTCATAGAGAAAAAGGGACTCTTTATGATGAACTCTTTCTTCCAGAAGCGGCCCCACAGGAAGTGGACCTGGTCGAGCCCCGACGGTTCGACAAAAGATAAGATTGACTTCATTATAACGAACAGTCGACAACTGTTAAGTGATCACGAGGATGAAGACTGGTAGGGAACACCAAATGGTTAGAGGCACACTGAACCTTAACGTTAAGTTGGAGAGGTCACGTCTAATGAAGTCAACGCTCCGTCCCCCTCGTGCTCTAATCCAAAGCCCGGAAACCTTTCAGCTCCAGTTACAAAATCGTTTTCAGTGCCTAGAATATTGCAATCCAGTGGACGATATAAATGACAAGGTCGTGGAAAGTGTCCATGCGGTCGGAGCTAAGTTTTGCATGACCCGCCACAGAAGAACACAAAAACTCCGATCACACTCTGAATCTCATGGCTGTTAGACGGGAAATGAAGTTGCAGTCTTCAGTAGATTTGATAGCATACAGGCAACTGAACAGACAGATCTCCAAACGCATGCGGCGGGACTTACGCAACTTTAATACTGCTCGTGTTGAAGAAGCGATCGAGCGGAACAAGGGCTCCAAAGTCTTTGCTAGAGATCTGTCTGTCAGAAAGTGCCAACTGTCGAAGCTGAAGACCAAGTGTGGCAGCATCGTTTCCAATACACCTGAGATTTTGAGTGAGATTGAGAGGTTCTATGGGCAGTTGTACCTACGTCATCGTTGGAGCTACACACAAGTGTGAGTAACGATCCAAGAGCAAGTCTTATTCGACACTGTTCCGATGATATCCCGGACGTTAGTCTGAGCGACATTAGAATGGCTCTCCAGCACCTTAAAAATGGCAAGGCCCAGGCGTGGATGGAATTACAGCGGAGCTTCTGAAAGGGGGAAACCGATACTTAAAGTCCTCCAGAAGCTCTTTAATTCCGTTCTCCATGGTGGCACTACACCCTTTCTGATTTCCCTTCTGAGCCGCGTCTATATGCTGTTTTTTAGAGTCATTACGAATCGTCTCGAATGCAGGCTCGACGACTTCCAGCGTCCCGTACAAGCCGGTTTCCGAAAAGGCTTTAGCACCATCGACCACATACATACCCTTCGGCAAATTGTACAGAAGACCGAAGAGTACAATCTGCTACTTTGTCTTGCGTATGTGGACTATGAGAAAGCCTTTGATTCCGTCGAAATTTGGGTGGTGTTGCAGTCCCTCCAGCGGTGCCAAGTGGATTGTCGGTATATCGAAGTGCTGAAGTGTTTGTACAGTAGGGCTACGATGGCTATCCGAGTACAGAACCAGAGTACGAAACCTATCCAACTGCAGAGAGGTGTAAGACAGGGTGACGTTGTATCCCTGAAATTCTTCACCGCTGCATTGGAAGACGTTTTCAAGCTACTGGACTGAAAAGGATACGGTATTTACATCAATGGCGAGTACATCACTCACTTTCGATTTGCCGACGATATAGTTCTTATGGCAGAATCGCTGGAGGACCAAAGCACTATGCTCAATGACCTCAATAGTGTCTCTTAACGGATAGGTCTTAAGATGAACATGGACAAAACAAAAATCATGTTTACGTCCATGTCACACCTATGCCGGTAGTTGTTGGGAGCATTAAGCTTGTAGTTGTTGGCGAATATGTCTGGAACAAATAGTCCGACTAGGTAAGTCCAACTTCGACCGAGAGGTCAATCGACGGATTCAACACGGCTGGGCAGCGTTTGGGAGATTACGTCACATCTTCTCGTTAGACACCTCAGAACCTCAAAACTAGATTATTCAACCAGTGCGTATTGCCAGTGATGACCTATGGATCTGAGACGTGGTCCTTCACTGCTGGCCGTATGAGGAAGCTCAAAGTCGGTCAGCGAGCTATTGAAAGGGCTATGCTCGGCGTTTCTCTGCGTGATAGACTTAAATACGAGGATATCCGCAGTAGAACCAGAGCAATTGACATAGCCCAAAGAATTAGTATGCTGAAGTGGCAATGGGCCGGCCATATAGCTCGAATAATCGACAACCGATGCAGGTGGCTCAGGACCGTGCTTTGTGGCATTCCTTGGGGGAGGCCTATGTTCAGCAGTGGACTTGTGAAGGGCTGTAAGGATGATGATATGCTGATCTTGCATTAGTAGGCAGTCACTGGTACTGGGAGGTCTACTAAGCTGATTTTTTTTAAGGTAATTGGCATTATACGCGAAAAATCGAAAGTTGCGAAGCTGTGGTTGTGTCGCTAATCAAATAATAAAACTGTACCTATGGCGTCAGTAACTAGGTACCTAATTATCTAGATCTACCTATAAATAATAATATCTTACCTTTCGGTATCCTTAGGGACAGTAAAGAATGAAAAGTCGACATTCCTTTTGTTATCACAGAGTACTTTTATATATTTTGTTATTTAAGCACCCGTATGCTATGCAGTGCCTACCTTTTGGCGTTTTGAGAGGCCATACTTGAATAAAAACTCAAAAATAAATATCAAAAGTGCCTAAATACATCTATACAAATAAATAAAATTGAAGTGTCTGTAATGTCAAAATTACTGCTTTTTACTAAATGCATATGAAAGTAAATACGGTACTTATAACTAAAATACAATTTTTTAAATTTTTGTCTGATTGTCAGATATTATGTAAGGGGTAACTTAGGCTACTATTATTTTAGAAAAATAATTAAGGATCCGGGCCAAAAAATTAAAACCTATGAACCCAATCTACGAAGTTGTGGGGAACAGGTAGTTATAATAATAATATTGTTCATTAGCGCAACTCTTAATTGCGTTTCGGCATTTTTTATTGGAGTGTGACAATGGAGAACAGATCCTTGATGGTAAATGAATGCAGTGATCCATATACATCGACATCTATCCTCAAATAGGAATCAAAATGCAGATGCGTTGTCACCCCTTAGGACTAAGATGGAAATCCTCTTAACCAGTAAAAGGGGTCTTCGGTTATCTACACGAAATACAGCATTATGCTGCTGTCGTACGCTCTAATTTATGAGAGCTGGTCCTGCCCAGGTGGAGCCGACCCATTCGTGCTGTACCCATAATATAGCTGCATCGCGGCTATTCAACGTATCTAATGTTTAGTTTTATATTATAAACTGACTGAATATAAAAATAATTTCAGCCTATTCAGGCAGTTTATAAGTTATCAAGGGATTGAAAAATCTGCTTTTAATCTGAAAAAAAAAATGTTTTTTATTGAAGTATTTCAGAAAAAGGAAGTTTTTAATTAGACTTTTTTGTATGTACGATTGTATGATACGCGGTATTTCCGACAATTGGAAACCTAAAAATAATACAGGATAAAGTTTTTAATGTAACTAATGGGATGACATTCTAGTTGTTTCTATTATATTTCTTAGTCCACTCAAAAGATGCAAAAAATTAAACTAAAAAGAGTAGAACAACTTCCACATAATAGTTTCTGGAAGTTGAGGGCTTTAGTAATTTTTTACTAATTCTAAAATCTTAGCGCCATGTCTAGAAATTAGAAATAATACTTATTCCTTTTAGTTTTTTAAAGTCGGTTTTTAATTATTGTTAAAAGTGAAATTTTTGTTATAACACTTTAATTACTTTGATAGATTTTAAATTACGACAAAGAATTAAAGAGGGTGGACTTATGTGTGTATTATAGTATTCTACGGGTTGGACTGAGGGTTCATGCATAGAATTTCTATTGCCATTCACAGTACTTTTTTATTTATTTTTTAAAGTATAAGGATGACAAACAAGCACACAGTCCACCTGATGGTAAGTGGATGCAGCGGCCCATAGATTTATACATCCATCCTCGATTAGGAATTAATGTAGATGACTTGTCACCGCTAAGGACTAAGATGGAATGCCTCGTTTCCAGTAAATAGGGTCTCCGGTTCTCTACACTCATCATAAGAAACACAGCAATATTAAGCTGCTATTTTACGCTGGTATTCTGTGAGAGCGTGGTCCTTCCCCGGTCGAGCCGACCCATTTGTGCTACTACAATCATAATATATCTGCAGCATGGCTCAAACACTTAAAGTGAATAAGTGTTTTCACTATTTATGTATATTTTTGTAAATATAATGTTAGACAGGGAATATTTTCTTTTTTGCTTGCTACTCTTGTTTGGATGAACCAGTTAAGGGTACTTGCGTTCAAGGTGTAATAGGAAAAGCATCAGTCAATGCACCAGCACCAATTCATTGACCTCGACTTATTTGTCCTAGAGATTGCTTCAATACTGCCACGTCATGCACCAACCAACCATGTTGTTGTCGATTTGGCTACTCATTGTCATCACAATACTCCTGTAGTTCCTGTTATTGTGTTGTAATTCTCCACGAAGTCCAACAATATTATGATCACTATAAAACAGCTTATGTAATGAGATTTCCATTCATTGATTGTTTAAACACTACAAAAGAATTATCTATTATTTAATTTGATCGTTAGTTCATCAAGAAGAAATGGTGCTTAGGTGTAAAAACTATTGTTGTGTTTTGTTCGCCTTATTATTTACATCGGCAATTAGGGCATCAGTCCTAAAAGAAGTATTAGAAGACCATTTTAAAGATTTAGCGCACAATGAAGGCGTGGAGTTGATCAAACATGATAAGCAGAAGGGCGAGAAAAATCATCACATTGAAAGCCAAATTAATGACAGCCAAACGAATCAATACTCTAAAGCCAGTGATAACACTAAATATTTAAAAAAAGAACATGATAGTAATAAGTCTTCTGACAATGACGCATATTCAGGATATAATACAAAACAAGACAAAAACGAGGATAACGAGACCACCGGATTTAAAAGAGGACATAAAAAGGGTCATCATAAACAAGGATTTCAAAATTCCTATCACAAAGATGAATCTTCCAACAAAAGCACCTATTTTGACGACTTTAATGACGAAGGTGATCAGTCTGCTTATAATGCAAAATCAAACAGTTATGATAATCATGGCGGCAGGAGCTATAAAGGCACTCATAACAATGGGCAGGAATATATTCGCAATAATTTCGATAGCAGAGGACATAACAGGTACGGAGACGTCGGAAATAAACAAATAGGTCACCAAGATTATGCGAAAAAACATTACCTCGATGACTATGAAAACTATAATAAACATCGTAATAATCGTGGAAGTTACAGCAGGGACAACATTAGCAATCGTTATCATTATCAACATCCACAAAGCTACCCGGAACGTGGTTGGGATTGGCAGAATTGGGAAGACCGTAACCGTTGGGAGCGTCCTCAATGGAACAGAGATGAAGGTTGGGGCCACGATTATGGAGGATCCGGTTACCACGACGAAGGTGTTTATGGATATGGTCCAAATTACGGATATGGTTTTGAAGAATCACAAGCAACACCTGTAGCTCAATCTCCAGCCCATTTACCGGTTGTTGCCCAAAGAAAACAAACAATAACTATTTACGAAGATCCTAGATATGACGGGAGTGATAGAAGAAAACTAAGGCACGAGGAAGGGGATTATTTACATCTTGATTTTAAACCCAGCCATGAAAGATACGGCAGCTATGATGATACCTATTACAATGCACCAAACAGACAAGGAGCTATGGAAACTAGTAGAATCAATCGACTGGTTTACAATTATCGGCGCCATTAGGTCAGGTTCTAGGTTTTGTTATAGAATATTCTAGAGATACTCAACAAATTATAAGATGAAAAAAATTGTGTGGAAGATTTGAGTGGTACAGATAATAAGCAAGTACTAGTAAATGAAAAATAGATTAAGTACAGGTATGCGTATGTAATATGTTATGAATTAATTACGGGGCATTGTTTGAATTTTGCTCGATGTAAGATAAAAAATATTTCAGTTATATGTATGGCATGTTCAATTTCTTAAAGGTTTTGTTGGATATTCAGAATATGCGAATATTAAACAAGAATTGCCATATTGCATATTTGCTGAAATCCATTGAGACGTGAAAGTACAAATACAGGTACTTTAAAGGGAGGATTCCTAGGGGCAGTTGCTACGTGTTGTACGTTGATTCGGTTGATAGATTTCAATATGGCACATATGACACGGACGAACGATTTACATTCTGGACCGTAACTTTTCGTTCAAAATGGGGACTTTGTTCGGATTGAGAATAAAATGAAAATTTATATTATGAATAAATCCTTTCGTTATATGTAGAAAACTTATTCTAAAAATATGTTTATGTAAATAGAACTTTAATAACTAAAGATTTTTTACCCTAGATTAATTTATCCTGCTTTTTATGTTGAAAGTTTTAGTTTGTTGTGACAGAAATCTAATTTAATACTTATATTAATACCATACCATATTGGGTATTAATATATGTGTAATAAATTTTATTACACATAATATGTTAATAGCTAAAAATGTTTATTTTTTATTAACACATTAACTTTTAATGTGAATTTCAGTTCTCATATTAATCATTTTCGTCGGCAGAAACATTTTTTTCGGGTTTGTCAATATAACAATTAGCTGAGTTTTCAATGAACTCTTTAAAATGATTCACATTTTTAGAATAAATTGAGCTCTATTACCCTATCCACGTTAATTAAAGGACGTTCCTATTGAGACACTAACCACTCGTGAATATTTTTCAGTGCTTTTATTTGTAATTTAAATTTTGTAACCCTTCGCTGTGGTCCTTCTTTAGGGGAGCAAACTAATTTAAACGTTAAGCTCTCTGTATAATATTGTGATTAAATATACATTTTAAATTTTTACACATAACCGACAAGGAAGAATTACATGTTATTTTGCAAATGAAATGCGTAAAATTAATCTTCAGATAAAAATGACAACAAAAAAAATTGTTTCGATAATAATGGCGATGCTTTTTGCCATAATTTAATATAATTAAGTAATTTTGCTGTGTTTTCTTCTTCATCAGCCCATTATAGACCAATACTGGACACAGGTCTAGGTGCAAAGAGGATTTGTGTTAATCGTCACGCTTGTCAGACGATCGCATTCGCAGTACCAGACGGTTCGCACAGCCTTTGACACTGTTTATCAGACTATGTACCACTACGTTTTCTCCTTATCGTCGCCGGTCTGCGTATTTTTGGCTTGCTGTAAAACGATATGTTTATACCGCCATCTATCGGAAGCCATATGTTACTGCATTTTATCAGTAGTTACGGTATACTGTTTTGTGTTCACCGTAGATTAATTTTAACTTTTAAATTTACAATTACCGCTGATCTTGGTATGCGGATTAATTATCGCAGTACCTACGAGATTTTTGTGACGGGTATTCTACCATCAACATGACCAAATCAGGGACGTCTTGAAAAAAGCCCAGGTCAAGAGTACTCTAAACCGTAGAGATAGATAGAATGAAGGGAATAATGAAAGTGGACGAAGCAAAACAAGTATGTAAGGATCGTAGCAAGTGGAAAGAAGTGGTCTCTGCCTACCCCTACGGGAAAGAGGCGTGATTATATGTATGTATGTATGTATTATATTTTTTAAATGTTTGTACTAACGCAAAGGTTGAGGACTAGTAAACACTGCTTCTTGTATCAGATTAGATAATAATTTATTAATTATCGACAAGGCCACGGGAACGATTTCCCATACATACGCAGTCGCATTGACGCTGGCTACCCTTTGGCGGCTCATCCTCGTCGCACCTCCTCATTCTTTAAACCACCTTCATACACGGCTTCCAATTCACCTGTGCTTACGAGTTCTTTACGTGCACCTGCTCTTTCGTCCCCAGCGGGGAATCGGTTTATGAGAAGCCTCCCGCCGCAGCCCACCAATGCACATGTGGGCCCACAGTGGTGGGCTCGGCAAGCCCACTTGGTGCGGCCATCTTCCACCACCTTCTATGTCGTATCAAATATGCATTTTACAGACTTATGAATAAATATGAGTCAGGTCAGACAAAAGTTTAGTGGATATTCATATTGCCAGCCAATCTGCAATTGTAAAAAACTTCCACTTACGATACTTTGTTCCGAATGAGGGTTGTTCGTATTCGTTTGTCGAATACTGAATTTTTGCATTTCTTTACAATGCTGTGAATAAAAAAAAAAAGAACGAAAATCAACAAGCTTTATTGTCAAAAAGAGTAACTTGTTTTCGACGTACTTCATTTGCAAAGCCAGAATATTGTGTATCATCATGAATTATTTTGTTTTACTAATTTCGGAGAAAAAGTCATATGTAAAAAAAAAGTCTTAGTATTTTTTGAAATTTTTATGTTTTAACTACTTACTATTTCCTTTTATATCCTATTTAGAACATCCCTGAGATAATTATAATTTCTTTTCAAATTCGGTAGCCCATGTACTTATATTTTAACGTTATATTATCTTATAACTTTCAAATTTCAGTCAATGATGAATTGTCATATGATTTTTATCTAAATGAGCAAGCAAACTTAGTTCTGCAGCATATGCCGTAGGAAAGATTAGAAATATTACCAATATTGATATGAAATAAGAGTCACCAATATTTTAACTACAAGATTAGTTTATATATAAGATTTTTTTTAGTTAATTTCATAGCGTAATGTCTTATGTAATTTTGTTATGGGGTAACGCGATTGACATTGAAACTATATTTGTTTTTGCAAAAGAGGACAATTTATAATATAAATTACAAAGAGTCCTTTAGAGAAAAGTTTAAAGAAATGAATACATTTATTAAAATTTGGTTTATAAATATATTTATGAAAGTGTAGTAGGTACTTTATGTACATGCATAAAAACACACAAAGACTTATAAATAGGTAGGAATTTAAACATAAGAAATCACAGGCTTGTAATGCCTGTTAGTAGACTCCATAAATAAATAAAATTAGTACCTACTTTATCCATGGAGTAACGTTTATGTTATTACTCCCCGGCCACACACTCGTCGAGTGGCATGGGAAGTAGCGAGGAAAGGACGCAGAGAGCAGAGGCAGTGTAGTCACAATGCTCGTCATGCCGCACGTCATGCTCCTCGTCATGCCAATCGGTCCCTGTTTCCCTGTTTTGTCGGCTTTTTGCTCTCTTTTGCAACACAATGTATGTTGAAACTGTTGCAGCGTGCGACTTATGCATATTTATTATAGCTAATTATATCAATGTCATAAAAAGAAATATACCTTGCCGTCGTTGAGATTTTTCTGTATATTATTTACTCATGTGATAATATGACTGAATGATGACCATAGGTACACTCTATTTATGATTTTTAAATGACATGCTTCCGTAACCAGCCCTCGATTCGGATTCGGACTGCGTTTGCCATTCACGCTCATATTGCGACGAAACAAGGAGTAATGTGCATAATGAGGAGCATGACGTGTGGCATAACGAGTATTGTGGCAACACTGCGTTTCTGCCTCCTTTCCTCGCTACTTCCCATGCCACTCGACGAGTGTGTGGCCGGGGGGTATAAAACTAACCCAGGGGAATGAGCGCTGGTTCTATTTTAATTCTTATAAATAATTGTGCACAATTATTATAAAATTTTATGTATAAAATAATTGAATACCGTTTGGCTTATTGCTCGTTGTTCCCAGGACAGAGATATTTTGAGAATCAGTGGTAAATAAAAAAAAAACTCAATAAGCATTAAATACCTAGTAATCTAATACAAAATATTCAATTCTGTTTTATTATCTTTCCAAGATGCTAAAGCTTACTTACAAATAATTCACTCTTGCATTGAAGAAACCCACATTGTAATAAGCGAATAAAAAACTCTGGCAAATAATTTCACTCAATCCATCATTTCACTGCTCATTACGAACGAGGATACAAACGTTTATTTCAAATGTGTGGTATATCCACAACAAAGGGGAGAAGACTGGAGGACAGGGAGGAATTAAGTCATGTAATTGCTGCACTCAATTAAGATATGGATATGAAAAGTAAAGTAACTTTCCACTGTCGGGCAAATGCCTTCTATCACTTCCGAAAGGGTCTTTTGATAGGATGAGTCAGTCTCATTGTCTCATTTCGTGTTAGTGGACTTCACAAGTGTTTGAAATATTTTTATTGATATAAAATTATTATAAAATTAATATTAATATAATATAACCTTGGCGGCTAAAGATGTTTTCCTTCACAGCTAAACTCGAGGTAAATCAACATTTAATATTATTATTATTATCAAATTAAATGGGGCTGGCGGGAATTAAGCGCGTGTTTCCAAATGAAACCTAAGGAGTTAACGCTCTCAGCTCACGGATTATAGGTTATCATACCACCAAATTATAAATTAAGTTACATAAACAATAGGTAATATTTATATATTATTTCTAAAGAACAGATATTAAAAGTAGAACGAGAAGATAAAAGTGCTGTAGTAAAAGCATAATCACCTCGAGCCTTTGAGCGAACTAATCGCAGTACCCTCTCTTTTTATTGTACTTACTAACGACTTATCTTAGGGCACTAAAGCAATTTCAAAACGACACCCGAATAACAAGCCAATAATCGTTAGCAGCGATTGGAAAACAAAACTGTGATTATAGGGTATTATCTTCCGCAACTCAAAGTCTTCCGTCTCTCTCCTACATGTTGATTTTAGGATCACCGTCTCATTCGTCTCGAGAGAGCTACGAAGAGATAGAGTGACATTACTTTAACGAACTTTCGATGTACCGTGTCGGT